TGTAGCTTACTATACGTTGTGAGTTTTGCTCATTGTTGAGGGTCGTATGGTGTTCACATTGTCATTTGGTTTTTATGGATAGTTGGTTCTATGGCAACCTTATCAAATCTCATTATTTCTTGGACCTTTAGGTTCGTGCAGTATCATTGGGGAGTTTTGAAGTTGATGGGCTATTCGGAACTTCAGCGCTGGAACTCTTTTTAAAAGTCGTTTTATTAAGCCATTTCACGTTTTACATTTATAGCTCAACTTTTGATTTAGATGCTGTTTATCTGCACGTTCATCCAGTTTCCCAAAATGGAACCTGTACACTTTGAAAATGAAACAAAATAACCCTGTAAACGGCGGAGGTAATATTTTATGAAAATACAGTACAGATTTAGCGACAAATTCATTTTACTCAATTTTTGTACCCTGGCATCAATAAGTATACATCAATAAATTTTTTTTTATAGAAATAGAAACAGGAATTAATATATAAAAATAAAGTATAAAGAAACACTTAGTTTGATAATCTTTCAAAGAAACAATTCTCAGTAAATTCTGAAAATTCAAAGTTCAAAAGCAGCTATAAGGTTTGTAAAATGTAAAAAATAAAGTATGTATTTTTTTTTTCAAATCTACTTGTAAAAATACTATCGGCAGTGAATTCCAATGTAGAACAACATTAAGTACATATAATGCGAGAAATATGTAATTATATATAAGGGGCTTGAACTTAGAAATAACTCAAACTAGGCTTTTCTTGAACAGTGAACAATAGTTACACTTGAAATCCATGTCAGCTCTCTTCTTATTTAAAAGATGCGATTAAAAGCAGCAGCTATATTTTGTTGTTTTATTCTTTTAAACCAAACAGCCACTCAGTTTCAAGTTTTGCAATTCTTTTTTTTAAGAAAGCAACTTTTTTTAATATCATTTAAATACGACCAGACTCCAAAGGAAAAAAACAAATAACAGTCCACAAAAAAGTACAAGGAAATTAAAAAAGTTTAGCATCATGAAACGTTTTGGTTAAAGATGAGTTTGCAGTCCATCCTTTATCATTGACACCCTGTCGTGCTGATCACGTTAATAAATTATATATTCAGGCTTCATACCATGACACATTGGATCGATGATCCTTATCTAACACTCAGACATAACCAAATTATGTTAGCGCATGTGACTCATCTGTTCCTAAAATATATCCAAATATGAAACTACGAGAAAATTTGATGACCGAGCAAATTTACTGTGACCGATATAAAGAATAACACAGACATTGCAGAAATAAAACAACACAATAAATAACATAAAAAAAGAAATGTAAAGGCAAGAGAAACACGAACATTGTTGTAACAAAACTAAGGTTCTCGTAAAATTATGCAATTACTTTTCTGATGGTGACGACCACTACATTGCTCGCAAGCCTAGGATCCTAGCCCAACCTCATCTTCTCGTGAGTAAAGAACTTACTGTGGAGCAGTACACCAGGATCTCAGGCTACGTAAATTGCTCGTGGCCACAAAAGGTTCGATGATTAGTAGAATTTTTATGGGAATAAACGAAAAGAAAATAGGGATTGTGACTACGTCAAACGAAGCACATTCGTTTCTTTTTTTAATTAATCGTTTTCAAACGAAGCATAGAGCACCATTAGTCCACGGGGTTATCAGCAGCTCAGATTTGATTTATTCGGCACTGGCATGATTTATATATATTTCCTTTCTCAAATTCTCCGGTCCAACTATCTCCGGTAAAACGGCTGTTTCCGGCTTCGCTGGATTAGGAATTTCTCTTTAATATGTCAGTTCAAAGTTTTATCTTAAGTCAATATTCAGTTAACAGACTACATAAATACAAGCTCTAGTGAGCTTTACAAATCGACTAAAATTATCCTTTTATGATATAGCTCCTAGCGTATTTAAGTATAATTTATAGATCGTTAATTGTCTTTCAAATATATTGGTTTGTCAAATTGAGCGTATCTGATAAAGAAAAACCAAGAAAAGCGCTTCGAAACACAATATTTGTAAAGTGTTTGTTTTGTTGGTTTTTTTTTCAACGGTAGTTGTTGATTTTTTTGTACAACTTTTACTTCGGTAAAATTAGGAGAACCACCTTCAATCGAACATTATTGATCATTCTAATATGACGTTTTTCAAACGCTTTGAGTACGCACCCGTGATAAAATTCGAATATATTCATATGTCAGCTGATAGTCAACGTCATGATTTGTTTGGGCTGTTCCAATCCTACTCCTACGTCGTATGCTTTTTATGAATGAAGTTTGTCTCACGTCAGACAGTGTAAATGACGTCATTGAACGATGACGTAAGAATGTAAGGATTTTACGGGAAAATGCACGAATAGGAAACTGACAGTCGTCAAAACATGAAAATATAAAAAAAACGATGATAAGAATTTGTATAATGTCCATATCTTCTTAAATGAAAATAAGATAGTCAATTAAATTCATCCAAATCTGTCTTAGTATGTTATTGTATATCGTTTAAGCATGTCACTTTTAAAATTATTCAATTTTCTTCGTCGTTTACGTCAATATTTATAGCGTGTTCAATTTCGGGAACAGCAAACATTTCCCTTCACATAGAGCGCTTCGATCCAAAAGAATTGCTGTCATTGTCCTATTAGAATAGAAATAATTCATCGGGGCTTGAATTTATATTGATTTTACCATGGGTTGGCCCTTAATGCTAAATATTTTACCACGAGCGACAGCCCCCATGAATTATTTCTTAAATATTTTATCTCTTTTAATATCACTGTGTAGAAACAATGATAGCAAAAAGTACCTATTCTATTCACCGTATAGTAAACAACTATTCGCCGTACAATTTATCCGCTTTATTTACATAAATTTCTCTGTGTAAACAATTATAGTCTATTTCGAAATACAAAATGTTCAAGCTTAAATATGATCGATATACCTTTGTTCTACGAAAACGTCAAATGAATAGTTGAAGGATAAATGTGTTTTTAACAAGTTTGTACTCGTGAGATGCTTCGTTTAACAGCTGGTACCACCCTATCCTGACGATTTGAAGAGAGAGAAAACCAATAGACAACTTTCGAGTTCGTTGCATTTCCGTCAAAACTTTGGTTTTAGTGGGACATCATTCGTGCGTTTAGGGGCATCGTCACTTCTATCCCATGTTGAGCGAGCGGTTTAGAAAATATAATGCTATGTTTTTGCACGAATTATTCGGCAAATTAAATTTTTAGGGAATTGTGATTAAGTACCTACGGACACAACAATTATTTCTAGTTTATCCTGCATAATGACGATCACGATTACGCTTGATGAACTTTAATAGTGCAGGGATACAGGCGGCCCCCCTATCTGGTAAATGACGTCATAAAGGCGCGCATATAAATTGACAAACTTTTCCGGTGAAGGTCATAACTCGAAAGTGGTCTATTAATGATTATAATCAGCCCTAAATAGTAGCTACATAACTAAGAATCAGTATCACAAAAATTTACTTGTCAGCAAAACGTAGAATATAATGAAAATAAAAAGAATTTACCCTTACCTGACTTCACATTTGTTTTTTCCACCGCTTCAGGGGTAGCTATATCCGGAGGTGATGCTACACAGTGTTTATAAGGGTCGAGATAAAATAATTATTTTTTTTTCAATAACAAAGAATCGGGGGCAATTATAAACAATTTATACTAAGATTTAGAGGTCAAATTTCCCGCTTTGAACACTTATAGTCGTTGTTAACTTCCGAACATTTGTGCTAAAATTTAACCTTTGATCTCACCAGGGCATCAATGGATAACATTTTCCTCAATAGAAAGAGTCCGATAGCTGCTAGAATCATTGACTTCATGAATTTTTACAGGTAAATTTACATAGTATAACTTTAATTTACATAGTATAACTTTGAAACAATAAGTTCATTTAGTTTTAAAACTGTAAGATACCACGTGTAAATAAATGTTCATGTTTACATATGCAAAGGATAATTTGGTGTACTCCGAAGTTCAACTTGGGACATTTTATCTGTAACTATCATAAACCATACCAAGTTTATTTTGATTCTATACTCCATGAAATAATTTAATCCTTAAACCTTTATTGAAGTATGGGTTAATTATTAAAAAGGAATTTCAGTCGATATTGGAACATTTTGATTTAAATACATGTCAGTGTACGTCTAACTCTTAATCGTTTTACCATACTACGACTACGTTTATGCAGCACTTGTCGTTACTCCAATCCCGTCCTCTTCTCTCGACTGTCGCATAAAATTGATTATCTCCGGAGTTTTACTTGCAACGAGTAACACAAGTTATCACTTGTATTGCAAGAACTACTCACCTTTTTGGAACACATGGGCGTGTTTTTTTGTTCTTCAGTAGAGAGCCAGAAGAGGTCCATTTCTGTTTTTTTTTTTGCATTTGGAAGATCTTCTGTCTCTCTTCTACCTCTTCCTTTTAAATAGGTAGTTTAGACGACAGAGGCATATAACAAACATGGCGTCGTTTAGTCTAAGTGACCGTAATAAATTTATGAATGCAGATAAAATAGAATGTGAGCTGTCTGATAAACGTTTTAATGGTATGGCAGCCTTAATATGACATTCCTGTGGGGACGATAAGCTGGATAAATATAAGAACTATACGGACAATAACAGTAAGGGGACGACTATTTGATATTCTGGGAAGGGGGGACAGGAGGATTTATTATTCATTTTGATCTGTCGCTAAGCATGCCTATTTTTATACGACCGCAAAAATTAAAAATTTTTTGGTCGTATATTGGTATGACGTTGGCGTCGTCGTCGTCGTCGTCGTCGTCGTCCGGCGTCGTCCGAAGACACATTGGTTTTCGCACTCTAACTTTAGTTTAAGTGAATGGATCTCCATGAAATTTCACCATAAGGTTCAATACCACGAAAGGAAGGTTGGGATTGATTTTGGGGGTTATGGTACCAACAGTTAAGGAATTAGGGGCCAAAAAGGGGCAAAAAATAAGCATTTTTGTAAATTTCAGACAATAACTTGTGTGTAAGTGTATGGATCTCTCTGACATTGTACCACAAGGTTCCATATCACAAAGGGAAGGCTGTAATTGATTTGGGGGGTAATTGCCTCAAAATTTTAGGAATTAGGGGCCAAAAAAGGGGCAAAAAACAAGCATTTTTCTAGTTTCATGACAATAACTTGTGTGTAAGTGTTTGGATATTTCTGAAATTGTACTACAAGGTTCCATATCACAAAGGGAAAGCTGGAATTGAGTTTGGGGGTAATTGCCCGAAACGTTTAGGAATTGGGGGCCAAAAAGGGGCCAAAAATAAGCATTTTTCTAGTTTCCAGACAATAACTTGTGTTCAAGTGTATGGATCTCTCTGAAATTGTACTGCAAGGTACCATACCACAAAGGGAAGGCTGGGATTGAGTTTGGGGGTGATGAATCATAAGGGGGTTCAAAAAATTTGGGGGGGGGGATTTTTTTTTTTTTTTTTTTTTCTTTTAAAATTTTCCATTTTAAGTTGGTTATTTCTGATTTATATTTAAAAGCAAATAATAATGATATGGTAGGAGATACACACCAAACAGGATGTGTAAATTATTATATAATAAGTATTGTGCAATAGCAAGAAATTTTCAATTGCACAGTATTGCACAATAGCAAGAAATCTTCGATTGCACAGTATTGCGCAATAGCAAGAAATCTTCAATTGCACAGTATTGCGCAATAGCAAGAAATATCCAATAGCACAATATTGCGCAATAGCAAGAAATTGTCAATTGTACAGTATTGCGCAATAGCAAGAAATATTCAATTGCACAGTATTGTGCAAAAGAAGATACTTCGTATAAATTGCTTATTTCTTGATCAATTTCAATGGGGTTTTATTCTTGAATTCTTGGGGTTCTTTAATATGCTGATTCTAACCGTGTATTAAGTTTTTGGATTTTGGGCCCCGTTTTTAAATTGGTCCACATTGAGGTCCAAAGGGTCCAAAATTTAACTTTGTTTGATTTCATCAAAAATTGAATTATTGGGGTTCTTTGATATGCCGAATCTAACCATGTATTTAGATTTTTAATTTTGGGTCCTGTTTTTTAAATTGGTCTACATTAAGGTCCAAAGGGTCCAAAATTAAACTTAGTTTGATTTTAACAAAAATTGAATTCTTGGGGTTCTTTGATATGCTGAATCTAAACATGTGTTTAGATTTTTGATTATGGGCCCAGTTTTCAAGTTGGTCCAAGTTGGGTCCAAAATTAAACTTTGTTTGATTTCAACAAAAATTGAATACATGGGGTTCTTTGATATGCTGAATCTAAACATGTATTTAGATTTTAGATTTTTGGCCCAGTTTTCAAGTTGGTCCAAAATGGGGTCCAAAATTAAACTTTGTTTGATTTCAACAAAAATTGAATATATGGGGTTCTTTGATATGCTGAATCTTACCATGTATTTAGATTTTTTATTTGTGGGCCCGCTATCAAATTGGTTCATATTGAGGTCAAAAGGGTCCAAAATTAAACTTTGTTTGATTTCATCAAAAATTGAATTATTGGGGTTCTTTGATATGCCAAATCTAACCGTGTATTTAGATTTTTAATTTTGGGTCCTGTTTTTTTTAAATTGGTCTACATTAAGGTCCAAAGGGTCCAAAATTAAACTTGGTTTGATTTTAACAAAAATTGAATTTTTGGGGTTCTTTGATATGCCTAATCTAAACATGTTTTTAGATTTTTGATTATGGGACCAGTTTTCAAGTTGGTCCAAGTTGGGGTCCAAAATTAAACTTTGTTTGATTTCAACAAAAATTGAATATATGGGGTTCTTTGATATGCTGAATCTAAACATGTATTTAGATTTTAGATTTTTGGCCCAGTTTTCAAGTTGGTCCAAATTGGGGTCCAAAATTAAACTTTGTTTGATTTCAACAAAAATTGAATATGTGGGGTTCTTTGATATGCTGAATCTTACCATGTATTTAGATTTTTTATTTGTGGGCCCGCTATCAAATTGGTTCATATTAAGGTCAAAAGGGTCCAAAATTAAACTTTGTTTGATTTCATCAAAAATTTAATTATTGGGGTTCTTTGATATGCCAAATCTAACCGTGTTTTTAGATTTTTAATTTTGGGTCCCGTTTTTTAAATTGGTCTACATTAAGGTCCAAAGGGTCCAAAATTAAACTTAGTTTGATTTTAACAAAAATTGAATTCTTCGGGTACTTTGATATGCTGAATCTAAACATGTGTTTAGATTTTTGATTATGGGACCAGTTTTCAAGTTTGTCCAAGTTGGGGTCCAAAATTAAACTTTGTTTGATTTCAACAAAAATTGAATATATGGGGTTCTTTGATATGCTGAATCTAACCATGTATTTTGATTTTGGACATTGGACCATAATAGGTAAATTAAAAAAATTGAAGTTCTTAGACCACATTCTTTCTGTGTCAGAAACCTATGCTGTGTCAAATATTTAATCACAATCAAAATTCAGAGCTGTATCAAGCTTGAATGTTGTGTCCATACTTGCCCCAACTGTTCAGGGTTCGACCTCTGCGGTCGTATCAAGCTGCGCCCAGCGAAGCATTTTATTTCAGCTGTTACCAGGCCACCATATTCATATTCAAAATCCTCCTGTCCCCCACCCCAACCCCCCAAAAAATATATCAAATGGTTATCCCCTTATTTAACACGAGTTTAAATTGAAAGATTTTTGCTTGCATATTTTTAACGTCCAGTGACAAATATTTCATGCATGTTCAGGAAAACACGAGTTTAAAAGTCAAGTATATAATATAAAAATAAGGAGATATGGTATGATTGCCAATGAAGCAACTATTCACCGGAGTTCAAATGAAGCGGATGTAATCAATTATAGGCAACCGTACGGCCTTCAACAATGACAAAAACCCATACCGTATAGTCGGCTATAAAAGGCCCCGACATGAACAATGTGAAACCATTCAAACGAAAAAACTAACGGCATAATTTAATATATATAACAAAACAATTTACAAAAAAATCAAATATGAGTCGACAGACATGAACCAACGACAACAACTGAACTGCAGGCTCCTGACTTGGGACAGGCACATAAAGAATGTGGCAGGGTTAAACATGTTTGTGAACGCTCAACCCTCCCCTAAACTGGGACAGTGGTGTAACAAGATACAAGATACAAGATGCAAACTGTAAAAATCAGTTGCAGTTGGATTAACTCAAAAGATCGATAAGAGACACAAAAAACAACTAACATTAAGTCAATAGACACAAAGCACCGAAATAAGAGTATTGTCAGTATTTGCAGTTACCTTAAGTTTGTTCAAAGCCAATTACAACTGACAAATAAATCTTGATCTCCTAGACTAAAGTATCAATCAGTACACAACCAACGGATTTAATCCTAAACAGTCTACGAAACGCCATGACCTTGTATTGTATTCCTTGTATACATATACAATTAAGGTTCTGGAAACGTGGTGGTCCGAAGGTTTTGACCATCGAAATTTTGCAATAGAAATAGTTAGGACCAGCAGATTTTTAAGGACCACCAGGGAAAAAAGATTTTGAGAACTCTGCGATATCTTTTATATACAAAAACAAAATCCAGTTTGGTTACTTGAAAAAATTTTGATAGACAAGATGTCCTTTCCGATCATATACCAGACCACATTTACAAATTCTTGTACAGTTTAAGATTATTCCTGAAAATCAAATGGTCAAAGCTCGAAGCCGGATTTGTTTTTCAAAATTGAGTTAGGAAAGCACAGAGAAAAAATGTCACGAACACAGCGATTTCTTCCAATCAATTTTCTTTGTTTTTACACTTTTTGTATAATTACTTCAATGCCAAAACAGAGCACACTATTACAGTCATGTCTACCGAATGAATCATCCAACATAAAAAATTCTGCTATATTCGACGGCAAATTGAATTCTTGTTTTATTGCTTCTTCTACAGAATATCTCCGGAAGAGGTGCAGTTTCATTTTTTTGGACTCTTCACCAGAAGACATCCTGGAGATGTTCAGAAAAGACCAATAAAACACGCCCCTGGTCATTTTTTTACTATTGTTTGTCTCTTCTTTTGTCCATGGTGTTTTCGATCTTTTTTGAAAGACCTTGAAAGACCACTTGGTATCTTTTCCCGATTATCAGTCACTTAATCGTGTTAATCATATGGCAAAATTTGGAGTACTTTGCTAATTTGTGTATTGTCTTATCATGAAAACAGCCACTACAATAGGATTATTCAGATTCAGATTCTTTATTAAGATAACTAATAATACATTACAAATCATATGATAATATACTAAACAACATTTCAACATGTAGTATATAATAATACAATTGTACACACCTTGCATGTTGAATTTTCAGGTTAAATAACTTTTATCTCACCTGCTTTCTTATGTTTTCGGCCAAATTCTTTTAAAAACATGATGATTTCATCCTTCTCGTTTCGTAAAAAGTCAAATTTTAAGCATTTTCCCTTAGAATTACACAACATATTTGTAAATTTGGCCAAAGGAAGTCTTAAAGACACGTTAGTTTTAGATCCAAGACTCCACGAAAAACTATTTGCAGTTTGCATAAAACACTGCAAACTGTAAATATGATTTAAAATATATATGATAGGGGCCTTTAATAGCTGCATTAACGTTATTGGTTTGGCTCATTGTTGAAGGCCGTACCGTCATTTATAGTTGTTTGAATCAACTTCATTTGGACTCTGTTGGGTAGTTGTCTCATCGGCAATCATACCACATCTCTTTATTATATATATAGATATAATTTAAATATTTTATTTTGGATTCCTTGTTAAAATGGGACCTTCGTGTTTTGTTTGAACGCTCTAGTAGTAAGTATAGCTTCAACTAATTCATATAATTTTTGTAAGATCATCACCAGATTCATACAAAGTCGTATAACCCAAGTGCCAGGAACTATTCGAAATATTTTTTTCTTTCAGAGAATTCATAGGTTTCCCACAACAAGAACAATGAATGTATTACTAAATGACTACGTTTATTATTCTCTGCTGTTCTTTGGATTGGTATACATTTATTTCTCTGGTGACGAGAAATTTATGGTTGTTTTTTTAGCGGTGCTTACGGGTTCTGTGTTCATCATGATGATCTTCAATTCGGGATGAATAACAAAAGGTAGGGCTGAAATCAGTACAAGTTTTTCATCATACGTCAGATTATAACACTAAACATTATACTGTGCGTTTGCATTGCATAAGACAAAATATGGTCAAAGGAAAGAAGGATGTGTAAGGGTTGTTTGATTGTTTTTCATGTTTTTATAAATGTAAATAAATTACTAATAAAATCTGAGAGAAATAAATACACTGTGGTTCTCTAAGTATTTAAATTGTTAAATCTCAAGAGAGAGAGATGATCAGAGAGAGAGAGACTTAAAATCAAAGGCAGATAATTATAATAAGGGTCCGTGTATATTTGGGTCCATTCGTTTTTCGTTTTGAAATATAAAAAAAAAAAACAAAAAAAACCGAGTGTTTTCATTTTTATACGACCGCAAAAAATTTTGCGGTCGTTTATTGGTATGACGTTGGCGTCGTCGTCGTCGTCGTCGTCGTCGTCGTTGTCGTCGTCGTCCTGCGTCGTCCGAAGACACATTGGTTTTCGCACTTTAACTTTAGTTTAAGTGAATAGATCTCTATGAAATTTTACCATAAGGTTCAATACCACAAAAGGAAGGTTGGGATTGATTTTGGGGGTTATGGTACCAACAGTTAAGGAATTAGGGGCCAAAAAGGGGCCAAAAATAAGCAATTTTGTAACTTCCAGACATAACTTGTGTGTTAGTGTATGGATCTCTCTGACATTGTACCACAAGGTTCCATATCACACAGGGAATGCTGGGATTGATTTTGGGGGTAATTGCCTCAAAATATTAGGAATTAGGGGCCAAAAAAGGGGCAAAAAACAAGCATTTTTCTAGTTTCATCACAATAACTTGTGTGTAAGTGTATGGATCTTTCTGAAATTGTACTACAAGGTTCCATATCACAAAGGGAAAGCTGGAATTGAGTTTGGGGGTAATTGCCCAAAAAGTTTAGGAATAAGGGGCCAAAAAGGGGCCAAAAATAAGCATTTTTCTAGTAATAACTTGTGTTCAAGTGTATGGATCTCTCTGAAATTGTACTGCAAGGTTCCATACCACAAAGGGAAGGCTGGGATTGAGTTTGGGGGTGATGAATCATAAGGGGGTTCAAAAAATTTGGGGGGGGGGATTTTTTTTTTTCCTTTTTTTTTTCTTTTAAAATTTTCCATTTTAAGTTGGTTATTTCTGTTTTATATTTAAAAGCAAATAATAATGATATGGTAGGAGATACACACCAAACAGGATGTGTAAATTATTATATAATAAGTATTGTGCAATAGCAAGAAATTTTCAATTGCACAGTATTGCACAATAGCAAGAAATCTTCAATTGCACAGTATTGCGCAATAGCAAGAAATCTTCAATTGCACAGTATTGTGCAATAGCAAGAAATATCCAATAGCACAATATTGCGCAATAGCAAGAAATTGTCAATTGTACAGTATTGCGCAATAGCAAGAAATATTCAATTGCACAGTATTGTGCAAAAGAAGATACTTCGTATAAATTGCTTATTTCTTGACCAATTTCAATGGGGTTTTATTCTTGAATTCTTGGGGTTCTTTAATATGCTGATTCTAACCGTGTATTAAGTTTTTGGATTTTGGGCCCCGTTTTTAAATTGGTCCACATTGAGGTCCAAAGGGTCCAAAATTAAACTTTGTTTGATTTCATCAAAAATTGAATTATTGGGGTTCTTTGATATGCCGAATCTAACCGTGTATTTAGATTCTTAATTTTTGGTTCTGTTTTCAAATTGGTCTACATTAAGGTCCAAAGGGTCCAAAATTAAACTTAGTTTGATTTTAACAAAAATTGAATTCTTAGGGTTCTTTGATATGCTGAATCTAAACATATATTTAGATTTTTGATTATGGGCCCAGTTTTCAAGTTGGTCCAAATCGGGGTCCAAAATTAAACTTTGTTTGATTTCAACAAAAATTGAATATATGGGGTTCTTTGATATGCTGAATCTAACCATGTATTTAGATTTTTGATTTTTGAGCCCCATTATCAACTTTGTCCACATTGAGGTCAAAAGGGTCCAAAATTAAACTTTGTTTGATTTCATCAAAAATTGAATTCTTGGGGTTCTTTGATATGCTGAATCTAACCATGTATTTAGATTTTGGATATTGGACCATAATAGGTGAATGTCCAATTTAAAATTTTTAAGTTCTTAGACCACATTCATTCTGTGTCAGAAACCTATGCTGTGTCAAATATTTAATCACAATCCAAATTCAGAGCTGTATCAAGCTTGAATGTTGTGTCCATACTTGCCCCAACTGTTCAGGGTTCGACCTCTGCGGTCGTATCAAGCTGCGCCCTGCGGAGCATTTTATTCGTTTTTGATTTCTTAAAAACCAAAATGAAAAACAAAAGTGTTTTCGTTTTTCATTTTTGATTTTTCGAAAACCAAAACGGAAAACGGAAGTGTTTTCATTTTTCGTTTTTGATTTTTCAAAAACCTATAAATGAATATCAAAAGTGTTTTTGTTTTTCGTTTTTCGATTTCTCTAAACAAGAAAAGAATTGAAATTTGCATTCAATTTCTGCATTCAATTCTCGTTTTCTGTTATACAATGTTTTCCTTTCCTTTTTGATAGCCAATGATACCCCGGTGTATATTTAACTTAATGTAGACAGAATAGACCGCCTGACTTATGATTTGAACAAAGGTAATTTATGAATCAAAGACTTTCAAATTTCCTTGTTTTTATCTATAATAAAATATAAAATTATTATATTTAAATATTAAATGAATCACAAATTTAAATAATAGAATGAAATATTATATAAAGATGGTAAAAATAAAACGATTGATTACAACATCACATTAAGAAGGGAGGTTATCTGATAAGAAAACTAGCCTTGCACAGCGGTTATTAGACCAATAGTATTTAAATCGGAGATTATGTCGACGAATGGAAAAGACTTTATCAATCTGAACAATAAGGATGCATGATCTTTACTTTTCAGTTTTGAAAGGTTAGTAATCTAAGAGGATTAGAACTGATGACCTAGATCCATCTGTCAGTATTAGTACTTTTACACGAACATTCACGACGATAATCTGTTTTTTTTTTATTAAGATCGTTTGATTGAAAAACAAATTTCCAAAAGTTCACAATTCAAAATGGGATTAGCATTCAATCATTTTGCCATTCGGGGCCTATTCGTGATGACTTTTACTCCTTTGTGAAGGCTATATGGTGACCTATACTAGAGGTTACGGAATAGAGAATAATGGGAAAAAAATATAAAGAATAGAGAAAATGGACCAAAAAATAAAGAAAAGAGAATAATGCAGTGTTAGAATATAAAGAATAGAGAATAATTGGCAAAAAGTATAATGATTAGAGAAAAATGGCCTAAAACATTAAAGAATACAGAAATGAAGGACCCCAATCCAGACCATTATACTAGTTGCATATACCAACGTTTTCTGTCTCCAGTAGATTGTTATTGGTAATCATACGTTTTCTCTTTATTTTTATGACTATCAGTTAAGACGTGAGCTTCAATAATTCGCCAGCATATATATATATATAGTTACTTAACTTCTTTTGCTCCTGGTGACAAAATGGGAAAATATTATTAAAAATTTATTGCGTCCAAAGCACTTTTCTGGTTTTATCTTTATCAGGAGGGTTAGGCGGGGAAAAAACAACAGTATATTTCACCTGTTGGTACTGTAGCGTCATTCTTCTTTCATTTTCTTCTGCCTGTTTTTTTTATTTACACCAGGTTAGACTTTTCATTTTCAAAACCTGTCTATCCCCCACTACCCCCCCGTGCAAAATAATATAATTTTATTAATGTTGACCCCTTTATGATTAACAATAATTGAAAAAAAAATAGATTGCATACAGCTACCGATACGACAACAACAAAATTAAAGGCTCCTGACTTCAAACAGGCCAATATATTCGAGTGATACTCCCCAACTCATACCTGGGTGGTGTAAAAATCAGTTCATAAGAACAGAGTTGTCTTTCACATGAAACCACGTAAAACATTGGTAAATAGTTACTTCGGTATAAATGATCGAGAAATTAAGAAGGTAAAAATAAAACAAATATTAAAATAAAGACAGTATTCATGCAATAACTACAACTTGGATACAGTCACTTTGTTCAGTTAGAGTTTGATTTTGACAATTATTTTGCAAATCACCATATATTTCCGATAATTGTTCTGCATAACACCCTATGGGAAAGCACATTGACATAGTTTTCTAAACGTTTTTTTGGAATCAAATGACATTGCATAGTGTTGCAACCTGTAATATGAAGATGTGCATGAAGTTGCGGAGGTTATGGGAACTTTGGTCTGGTCAAACTAAAGATTTTAAAAATGTTTTTCCTGCTTCTCTACAAGCACGCGGCATTAATAAGTAAAAGCAGAGACTGGTCGGCTCGGAGTCAAAATATTGAATCCGCGTAGGATAACATGTCTTCCTGCGAAATATAACATCACGAACTAGCACGTCCGGCTCAGCGTGTTGGTCTAATCTAAAGCAGAGTTAATAATTCATATTACAATAACATGTTCTCGTCCTGAATATGCATTTAATTTACCACTGGACATTAAAAAGCCATCCATCATTACCATCTCAGGCACAACCTTCCATAAAAGAGTGATTTTGCGGTCGTATAATGGTATGACGTTTGTCGTCGTCGTCCGAAGACATTTGGTTTCCAAACAATAACTTGAGTATACATGTAAGTGTATGGATCTTTATGAAATTGTACCACAAAATTTCATACCACATAAGGAAGGTTGGAATGGATTTGAGGGTTATTGTCCCAACTTTGTAGGAATTAAGGACCAAAAACAAGCATTTTTCTTGTTTCAGGACAATAACTTAATTATAAGTGTATGGATCTCAATGAATTTGTGCCACAAGGTTCCATACTTCATAAGGAATGTTGTGACTGATTTACGGACAAAAAAAATGGTAAAAAAAACCTAGGATTTTCTGGTTTCCGGACAATAGCTTAAGTATAAGTCTAAAATGAATCGTTTTAGGAAAAAGGACTTTTCATACGTTTTTCATTTCTTGACCAATTTCAATGGGGTTTCATTCAAAGCCTTGAATTCTTGGGTTTTTTATATGCAGAATCTCACCGTGTATTCATAGATTCTTATTTTGGGGTCCGTTTTCAATTTGGTCCACATGAAGGTCCAAAGGGTCCAAAATTAAACTTTGCTTGATTTTAACAAATAAAATAGATTATTAGGGTTCTTTGCTTTGATAAATCTAACCGTGTATTTAGATTTTTGATTTTGGGCCCGGTTTTCAAATTGGCCCACATTAAGATCCAAAGCGTTCATAATCAATTTTAGTTTGATTTTAACAAAAATTGAATTCAAGGGGTCTTTTAATTGCTTAATCTACGCATGTATTTGTATGTTGAATATTGGATCATGATAGATAAATATCCAATTTCATTTTTTACAGCGGATGACCGTGAGGGCATTCCGGTGTTATGTCACCACAGACATTTCTACCCACGTGACTTGCGTTTTTTGACTGATAACCGAACGTATTTCGTATAATTACGCGGATATCATGGAGTGCAAAATAACACACCTTATCGCTTGTTATATATTAATTTCATCAATAAATATTCATGAAAATAATTTTAAGAACATAGATAAATGATATGAAAATGTTTTGTCGTGAGAAATATATATCTCAATAACAAATCAAGAATACCGAAAATTTGTGTTAACACATGAGGAAGAATATCTCAAGAACGTTTTGCAGCAAACGCGGGAAAATATGAATGCAACTCAAATCCAATCTATTAGAAAAAAAAAATATTACAGAAGAGTGTCCACCATGCACTTGCACTGCACTATCATTGAGGGTGAATTTCCTGTCATTTATTCGTCATCCACACACGAACTTGTCTCAGAAAAAAATATATCTATGTACCTTAACCTAACTTTCATGTATAGAGATGTGATTTTTTTTCTGAGACAAGTGCTTGTGACCATCCACCAGAAATTGCGGTCATCCGATGGTCAGTACTTCAGTACTTTGATTTAAGTTCTTATGCCACATTCATTCTGTGTCAGACACCTATGATATGTCAAATATTTAATCACAATCAAAATTCAGAGTTGTATTGCACAATTAATAGAAAGTATAAGTAGATTCACAGTTAAAAATAGATACCGCATTAAATTTTAATTTTATAGAAGAAATTATGTATAAATATAGTTTGAAATTTTCTATTCAATAATAGATCTTTTTAATTAAAGGTAAGTTTTATGGATTTTTTTTAAAGATATTGTTTTAATGATGACTGATATTTTGTGTATTTTTTTTTTTCATTTCTTTTGAGAACATTTTTAAGAACTTGGTGGTAGGTTTGTTTTTATTCTATATAAATTAATTTTCAGAATGCTATATATATATATACATGTATAGAATTTTTTTATGAAGCTTACCCCTTGACACACTTAGCTGTTATTGTCCATTGATAACTACTAGTAGATTAAATTCTTGGTACTGAATCTAACCTTATACAAATGTATTTAGATTTTGGATATTGGACCACATTCTGTACGTGCCTGTCTCAAGTCAGGAGCCTTTAGTACAGTGGTTGTCGTTGGCTCTTGTCTGTCATATTTGTTTTTCGTTAATTGTTTTGTTAAAAATTCGGCCGTTAGTTTTCTCAACCGAACTGTTTCATATTTTTCATGTTGGGGCCTTTTGTAGCCTACTATACGGTATGGTGTTTTCTCATTGTTGAAGGCCTTACGGTTACCTTTTATTGCTTACATCAACTTTATTTGAACCTTGGTGGATAGTTGTCTCATTGGCAATTATACTTCATCTCCTTATTTTATAAAAGTCCAATTTCAAATGTTTCTGGTCTTACACCACCTTTATTCTGTGTCAGAAACCTATGCTGTGTCAAATATTTAATCAAAATTCAAATTCAGAGCTGTATCAAGCTTGAATTGAGTGTCCATACTTGTCCCAGCTGTTCATGGTTCGACATCTGCGGTCGTATCATTCTGCGCCCCGCTGAGCATTTTGTTTATATTTTCAATTCATTGGATATGTAATTTAACTGCAAAAGCCTCCAAGGGACGGTGGTGCATGGCAAAGTGGGAGTTAGACGCACATTGTATACATACTAGTATTTATAATTTGATTAAAATACCTCGTATCTGATGAAGAAGGGTTACTCTACATTGTGATTTGACTCCAGGCGGCACCAAGGGAACATGCCATGCACAATTTAATTGTGAAAAGATCACAGAAGAAAAAAGTGCTTTGAAAAAGCTAATACGTGCAGAATATCCACTGTCATGTAGCTGGAT